AGAAAGACGAGAGTAGAACGGTAGACGAGAGAGTTGGAGAACGTCCAGAACGACGTGGCCCGAAACACGAGGGGCGCACGCCGTTTGTGTAATAGTTAGGCGAGTTGTCGAAGTTTCCGCTCGAAAACGGATATCTCTCTGTTTGTCGGGAGCAACAACAACACGCGCGGGATCTCTGTCGACTTTGTAACTCTCCTCCGGTAATATCGCGAAGGGACAGTGAGTCTGAACGTTCTCCAAAGAAAGTACGTAGGAACTTTCGATATTAAATCGGGGAAGTAGCGTGCGCCGGTCAGAGCTTCAAAGAGCGAAAAACGAGCGTAGAAAAAATAAAAGAAGAAGAAGAAATATCAAAGTGGTAGCAAAAGCGGAATGGGTCGATGACGATGCTTAGGAATGTGCATTTTCGTTTCTTTTTTTTCTCCGTGTTTCTTTTTTTTTCATCCTTCTTCTTTTCTGCCCACGTAGAAGGAAACGAGAGAGCGTGAGTGAGTGAAGTAGAGAGAGAGAGAGAGAGGGATTTGGAAAACTTTGGAAAACAACGGCGAGTTCTACGAGAGAAAAAGTCAGAGTCCGCGCCAACAAGGAGAAGGAAATCGGCAGGTAGTCGGAGGAAGAGTAGGCGGCCACGAGGAGGGTGGAAGCTCGGACGAATGTTAGATTAGTTTGCCACGGAGTTAGGCTAATGTTGGCTGCACCTACGAGTAGAGTTTGTCCGGCAACAACGCGCGAGGTCGAAAGTTCTTTGCCTACTCGGCCCACCCTCGGCCTCGAGTCTCACCCAACTTCGCAAGCCAATAATCTGTCCCGCAATTTCGGAATTTAACCGCGGAAACGAGACAGAGAGAGAGAGAGAGAGAGAGAGAGAGAGGAGGCGGTTCGCGAACTTCCCTTCGCTAACGTCTCCTCGACTTATCGTAGATAAGCCACTTCTACTACTTCTCCGGTCTCGTATGAGAGAATCCACCCTAGGAACTCCGTTTCTACAGGGTCAACTTGTCCGCCAACTATATTCCTTACGCTAGACCGTCCAATATCGGAATTGTCCATTAAAACGATATATCCATTTTCCCTCTCTCATTCTCTCGCTCTCGTCTAATCGAATCGATTATCCCTCACAAATGTTCTTCGAATATCTTTCCTATTCTCTTCGTCTTCATCCCTCTATTTTTCTGTTCTATCGATCTCAATCGACGACACAATCGATGTCACACACCCGAAGTATAAGAGAGTAAAACACTCTCTTGAACTCCCTCCGGTGGATAATCCGTGGAAAACACAACCGGAGACGCACACCCATTCGCAGAAGCATCGGGGAGCCATCTGATGACCTCGCTTTAACTTCGTAAAAATAGCCGGCGAACGGACGAAGTTAAGACACGATCGTTCTCGACGATCGTCTGAAAGCGTGATCAACAGGCGCGAAAAGTTCAGCAGCTGGATTTATCACGCATGACCCGGCCGGGTGAGGTAGTTCTCCGCGGTGGTGGTCGCCATCGGCAGCAGCTGGCCTCTCACACTTACCACCCGAAAGCACTCGCAAATATATCGGGAGGGATCTCTCTCTCTTTCTCTCTCTCTCTC